TTAATGTATCTTGCTCTTTAAACCATCATGAGACAAAACAAGCGGAATGAATGTGTAACGTACCTCATTCTTTAAGCAATGATGAGACGAAACAAGTGGTATGAATGCGTAATACATCTCTCTCTTTAACCTGTAATTAACAAAGAAACAAGCACAATAAATGAGTAATATATCTTGTTCTATAAATTTCAATGAGACAAAACAGGTGTGGCAAATGGTAATAGGGATGCCAGGATCTTGTTGATGATGGTAAAATCTCGAGCCTCAACTCTACATTTTGGGCGACTTGACTAAACATGTTGGGTGACACAACTCTGATTTTGGGCAACTTGACCATAAACCAGGCTGGCTGTGGGGAAGGATGGAGGCCATTATCAGGACCGATTTGTGAAATTGTTAATTTAGTTGGTCAGGAAAAAGTTAGGCAATTTTAGTAACCTCTGGCTGTGGCAACCATGCCAGTGCTCTTTTTGGCAGTGCTTGGGGGTAGGATCATTGTACTAAAACCCTAATAGTAACTGATTGTTGTGATGGAAACTAACTTAAAAGGTCGAGTTTGGTCTCCAATGAACGGTAATTTCATGCAGGTCACTTTCCGCCACATTATAATACCCAGGGGAGATTTGTTTCTTAGCTACAGCCAATCAAATGAGGTCAAGTCTTGAAGGGCGCGTGAAGGCGCAATGGAATTTCAGAGAAGTTTTGTTTCCGGGTGCATGAGGGCGCACCGGAACTCAATGGGTTAAAACTTTATATGTAATCAGAACAAAAAATTTTCAATTCTTTTATGAATTTAAGGTAATATTCAGATTTATGTACTGAGGTATCAGCTTTGCTCCAAGTTTTTTTAAAAGCAGAAGTTTACCGGGTCAGTGTTTTTTGACATAGTTTTTCTTTCTCTTTAGGATTGGGTAAACAAGTTTGAAAAACCCAACACAGCACCAAACTCACTCCAGCCAAGCACCACTGTTCTTAGTCCATATGTGATGTTTGGATGCCTCTCAGCCAGACTTTTTTATCATCGATTGTCTGATATTTACTCAAGGGTAAGTAATCAGAATAATTTTACTGATTAGTTTTACATTTAGGCATTTCTTTCAAGCCCAGTTAAAAATGGCGCTGCTTATATACATCTCACCTCGACTTTTTGGTAACCAACCATTGCTATTTAAGTCTTGTGTCTTTCCTGTCTATACCTATACTTACATTGTTTCTAACTGCTGCGTATTTTACAGGCTAAAAAGCACTCTAACCCACCAGTTTCTTTGCATGGGCAGCTTCTGTGGAGAGAATTTTTTTTCACTGCAGCATATGGAACTCCTAACTTTAACAAGATGGAGGGTAATAGTGTCTGCCTGCAAGTTCCATGGGACAACAATCCAGAGTTTGTCAAAGCTTGGGCTGAGGTGTGTACAGTATGGGTCTAGTGATGAAAACAGCAATGTGTTCACCCCATGTAAGGGAAACCAAGACTTTCTTGGATTCTGGATTCCATACTGTGGATTCCGGATTCCAGATTAGTTGTCAGTGGACTTTGGACTCCGGATTCCATCGTAAGTGGGATTCTGGGTTCATAGGGCTGAATTCAGGATTCCAAAGCACAGGGTTTCAGATTCCAGGGACAAAAATTTGCCAAATTCTGGGATCTGGATGACCTTACATGGGGCGTAATGACTATGTTGTTTTAAAAAGTTTCTTTCTCCCTACAGCCGAACCAATGGTAACAACTCTTGTAATCTGTTCTTAGCCTGCTGTCAGACTGATTGAAAACAACATTCACATGAGAGGAATCGTTTGGTCATATTTTCCCAGTCATATTTCTTTTGGGTAGTGCAACTTTTTCACAGGCAGAAACAAATTTTACAAAGAACTAGGAATGCATCCTTGTTATTCGAGCTTCAATTTAAATTACTTACTTAGGTCCTTATCCCCAGTTAAAGAAAGTTTGTCTCTCTCCATCTGCTCCAACAGCCATTGATAACGCGACAGAAGTTAGGGAACTGACCTAACACATTAGCCAAATGGCTTAAGACGTCGGCGAACAGGAAGTTGGTGAATGGACCGTAAATCTTTGCCTCCAATACTAAGTCAACGTAATTTTTTGTTCGTAACCGGCCTTGAGTATTTTTTTTTTCAACTGTGCTTGGGATGATTGGATGTCTATTGTTTTGTTGTTCGTATTATTTGAAGGCACGAACTGGATATCCCTTTATCGATGCCATCATGACACAACTGAGGAGGGAGGGGTGGATTCATCATCTTGCACGTCACGCCGTGGCTTGTTTCTTGACCAGAGGAGACTTATGGATCAGCTGGGAGGAGGGTTTAAAGGTAAGTCATATCCCTTGTTAAACAGCCCCATGTTAACTTGTTTCAACAGTTAGCAGACTTCAAAGAGGTGAAGAAAGGGTGTATTAAGTTACTCTGATAGCTGAATCGCGCTTGACACGCTGTACACCTTGGTAGTGCGTATAGCGGCTAAATCCCCGCCAAAGAGAATGGTAGTGGTGGTTGTAGTGACTTTAGTAAAGTGTCAGTCATTCTAACAGTCACACACTAATTGGAGACACTATATTATAAAATAATATACCCTATTTTCATATTACATGTACAACATAAATATTAAAATAAGCTATTGCCCAGTGACATTAAAAAAATGTGGCTTTAAAAACTATTAAAAAATATGATATAAAAAACTATATTGCCCGGTGCCATAAAAAAAAATATGACGTATATACGAACATTAGAGTGATTTTACTTGACCCGTGAAACGGATACTAACAACTTGTGCAAAATAGCCACTAGTAAACAAAGCAAGACAACAGAATTAGTGCATAATAGTGCATAGTACTCTACTACCTATTTCATGGGTGAAGTAAAATCACTCTAAAAAAAATTAAAATCAACTAGTTCATAAATAGCGGCCTTTACAACCCCTCTGTTCCATTTCCGCTGACAAGTCTCTTTTCCTTATCGAACATTGAAAAGCGTTCAGTCTATTCATGTCACGTTCCTTGTTAGTCAACTTGGACCTCAGAAAAGGTCCTAAATATGACAGAGAATGTTTTCCATACTTTATAGTGTTAAAGCATGGCACGATAAAATCAGAGTTCCTTAGATTATATCGTTTTTCTCCCTCTCCTTGAAGGTTGAAAAGGTCCTGCAGATACTTTGGTAATAGATTGTTCTTTAGCTTTAAACATAAGAATTGGTATGTCTATAAAGAGTCGTTAGATTGTCCTGCCGGGGTAAATTGTCGTGAGTCCGGTCTGTTGTTAAATACAGTGCGCTGAGCTCTCTCCTGTAACCTTTCCAGTTTGCGCCAGTCCTACGCTCTACAAAAATTTCAGACTGTACTAGAAAAAACTTTCTTTCTTGCGGACTTATGGGCACAGTATTTGCTACTTACTCAGGGTTCTATCTAGGGTATTTTTGGGGTAGAAGCTTCCCCCAAATTGCCCAGCTTTCCCCTCAAATATATTGTTATCATTACAGTATATAAGTAACTATCTTGAAAAAATGATCCAGACGCAACAAGGTCAGTGCACGTGTATTAGTATTCCCTGTCTAAGGACAATATATGACAAGGAGCATGGAGTATTATTTTAAAATAAAATACCACTGTAACATTTCTCAAATTTGTGTCTCAAAATGCACCAGATTGCATCTCAGCGCATATTCATTTCAAAACAATTCCGGAGGGGCATGCCCCCGGATCCCCCTAGGAAACTCGTAGTCCTCGGCCACTCGGGATTTCTCATTCAAACGGTAAATCCAAGATAGAACCCTGTTACTCCTTTTGTAACTGTATCCGGTCGTGGCATTGCTCACTTTTGCGCAGGTTCCAGGTTTGCAGGATATCTGTTGCCTGCGTGCAGACGTCCCCTATTTCCTTTGCACGTGTGTAGACTACGAGTTAGCCTGTGCCAAGCTCTCAGATAGTATAGTGGGAACGTATTAAAACGAGCAAAGCGAAAATAAGACGCGCACGACTTGGGAAAGGGGGCGGTGGCGGCGGGAAAAATGGGAGAGAGAGCCTGTTAGCATTTCTTTAACGACCCTCTTCCGCCCATTTTTGTCACGTCTGGATTCGGCTGTCAAAACTGTTAACACTTCAGTTAGCTACAATGATTCTCAAGTTTCTCGCGTGAGCATTGCACGCGACGCGAACTCCTTGTGCGATGTGTGGAAATTTATGTCTTCAAATTCCTTATCCTGTGAGAGCATCCGTTTTTTTGGCTCTAGTTTATAGCAATAAAAGGGGGCGGTAAGTTTTTTCCTCTGTTGGGTAGGTTATGCTCTGGAAGGTTCTACATTGTCACTGAGCAAATGTGACTTTAGCCGCTTGTTTCACACTGAGAGGTCATGGCACACATATCGATTTACTGTGGCGTTTGTTTCTGGTCGGCAGGATTTGCCCTCTGATGAGAGAGCATTTTCTTTGACCTCTAATTTGAAGCGTAAAGCTTTTTATTGCGACTGAATAAGGGTTTTAATTTTCTCCAAAGTGCTTTCTGGATCTGACTAAAGCGATTTTCTTTAGTCCGTGAATGTAATGTTTTTCTGCAATGTTGTATCACGCTGGGCCAAGCTCGTTAGTTTTCTTTGCAGAATGTTAAATTATCACGGATAGTGATTTACAGATCCAGAATTATAAGAATGAAGTGCAGCTTAAACTTAAGCTACATCAACTAAGGAGAATTGCATTGTGACTTAGTAAACTCCAGCTTAATAGAGTTTCTCTTAAAATAGTGTGAGTCTTTTGACTGGAGCGCGTAGTTTCTCCCTTGGTAATAACGGAATAAGCTTAACAGTCTTTGGACTGTTTTGTTATTGCCACTTTGTGATCAACCAGGACTCCGGATTACCGAAAATAATTTCGCACTTTCCTTCTCTCTCTTTCTTCTCGTCCTCCTCTCCCTCTTCACCGATGCCAAATAGCTGCGGCCGAAAATCCAAGCTTTTTCTATTGTTCCACTTGGTCTCGCATTATAGATATCAGCGGCGAAACGACTATTATCGTAGAGTTTTCTAGGGCTAGAGCAGCTTTAGCCAAGCGTGGGAATAGCTGAAAGATTCAACTTTTGCCGAAACCGGTGGGCATAATACCGAAAACATCTTTACCGCGAGCCAAGTCGCAGACACTCTTCTAAAGGACAAGACAACGCGGATTCATGAAGATCACACGCGCGATTCGCGTTAGCCATCTTTGTGATGACAAACTGATGACCACCCTACTAGGTGATGATGTTAACTGTCACAATTGACCAATCAGAGGGTATATCAGGAGCTGATATACCGGAACAGGCCGTTAAAAAAATGCGTACAGGCTCCGCCGCCCTGTCTCTCCCCAGCTCCCGCGCTTTTTTCGCATTTCTTATTACTGAACGATTTTCCACCAACATCTCGGAGCTTGGAACAGGCTAACTACGAGTAGTCTCCCATTTTTCCTCAGAGATAGTAGAGCGAGCGAAACGCGAGCGAGCGTGAAAATCACCCCACGCGAGAAAAGGCGACACGCGGCGGGGAGAGAGAAAAATGAGGGACTACAGACAAAGCCCAAGCTTTTGACCCTTCACGGCCGACTGATTTTGGAGAGTAAAATTCGTATCCCCTTCCAAATCAATAAAGCGCATCCAATGGGATTCCTTCCCTTATTGAGCTGTCATTGCTCTTGTCATCGGTAAACTGCGGGGGATATTTATTGCTAGCAAAGGAAAACCCAGATACTAATTTTCTTCACGGCTATTTCGCGTAAAGAACTTGATAGTGTAGGCAACAAACGACTTTTACTCATGGCAAAATGCTGCTTGTTCCAATGATTTTTTTTTCTCTGACGGGTAGATCATGCTCTGGAGGAAAACGTCTCGACTGAGCAAATATGATTTTTGCCGCTTATTTCATACTGAGAGGTCGTGACACCCATTTTAATTCTCTGCGGTTATTGTTTATGGTCGGCATGATTTGCCCTCCGATGCAAGAGCATTTTCTTTGACCTCTTTTGAAAAGTAAAGCTCTTCAATGCTGCTAAATAAGGGTTAGGGTTGTTTAATTTCTCCGGCGATTGCCTCCTGGATCTGAACAATTTTAAGCGATTTCCTTTTTGGCCGTGAATGTGACGGTTTCCTGCAATGTTTTGTCATGCTGGGCCCAGCTCGTTAGCGTTTTTAGCAGGACGAATATATATAGTGATATCCAAATCTCGAAGAATGGATTGCATCTTAGACTAAAACTACATCAACTATGGAGAACTGCGATGTGACTCAGTCATGACTGCTCACGAATTTTAACTGCCGCTTGTTCTTCTTGAGATAATGTGAGTATTTGGACTGGAGCACGCAATTCCTCCCTTGGTGATAACTTTTGAATTAGCGTAACAGCCTTGCGACTGTTCTATTATTCCCACTTTGTGATCAGGCAAGACCATGGTTTCCGTTCTCCACGCGAACCTCATCAGTTGCCGGGTTGGCTTTATGCTTAGTTGCTTCTACAAGAGCAATGCTAGTTATTTGTTCTGTGCTGTTATGTGTTCTGCTCTAGTTATCTGTTCTGTAAATTGTGGTTATGTCGAGTGTTGATAGCGACTGGCGCGTTTTTGACAGATGTTGACAGAGTTCCATGGAAGAGCCAATCAGAGTTTTGCGTTGTGAGAGCAACGCATTAGTTCAAAAGCTTGGGCTTTGTCTGTAGTCCCTCATTTTTCTCTCTCCCCGCCGCGTGTCGCCTTTTCTCGCGATGGTGATTTTCACGCGCGCTCGCGTTTCGCTCGCTCTACTATCCCTGAGGTAAAATGGGGGACTACTCGTAGTCTACACGTGTGCAGCAAAGGAAATGGGAGACGTCTGCACGCAGGTAAGATACCTGGCCATCGGCCCACATCATTAGTGGCCCTTCCCTCGGTTTTATGTTACCCTTAACTATAAAACTGTCACAAATTTTCGACCTAAAAGTGAAGTAGGCTAAAAAAGTTATTCTAGTCTCGTCGTTGTATAATAATTTTCGTCAGAGTAAATTTACAAGCTGGAATATTATTTTTTATTAAAAACTGAATCATTGGATAATGCAATTCTAGCATTTTGATTGGCTTAGCCGTCATGGTATATTTAACAATTATTTCTCGAGGGTGCGTGGGATATAAGATGATTATAGCCAACTCGGCTCTACGCGCCTCGTTGGCTATCTATCATCTCAAATCCAACGCACCCTCGTGGAATAATTGTTAAATATGTTACACTTCAAACTTTTACTCAGGTTAAATTTTTTAACTCAGGTTGATTATTCATGAATAGTTATGGTCAGAAGACAAAGGCAACAGAGAATCAACCTTGATCTGTAACAAACATGTCAATTTGAGATTGCAATGAATCACTAAAGCTGCATTATAGCAAAATGATATTTCCTCTTCCCCCTTTCGCAGCGAAACGACTGGTTGTGAAGGTTGTGATACTCGGCACCAGTTAAATTCCTTGCTGGAAGCATGCTTTATTTTAAACGTACAGTTAGGAACTAAGGCAGGGTCTTCAGGAAAAGAATTGTGGACGTTAAGTCCTTACTTCTATTGTATATATTTTATTTTTCAGGTGTTTGAAAAGCTTCTTCTTGATCATGACTGGAGTTTAAACGCTGGCAACTGGATGTGGCTATCTGCAAGTGCGTTTTTTCACGCTTATTTCAGAGTGTACAGTCCGGTAGCGTTTGGCAAGAAAACAGATCCTAATGGAGAATATATCAAGTAAGGGGTAGCCTGCGTAGCTGGCGGTATTGTGTAGTAGTCGAGTGAGATTTGGCGGCGAAGCCGTTGTAATATAGTCGAGTACCGCCAGCTACGCAGGCTAGTAAGGTGGACTATAACCCTGGGTGCCAGAGACTTTTCATGCGCGATAACAGCTGTTGTCAAGTCTTTATAGTGATCTGCCGCTCGTGGCTTCGCCCTTTGGCCGAAGCCGAAGTTGTGTCGCCGTCAACGAAGCACCCCGTCGTACGCGAGAAAAAATCCTCTGATTCCTAGTGTAGTAGTCTGCTACACAGCCGTTTTTAGTGTCGTCACGCAACGCTCCTCCCCTTGCGTGACGACACTAAAAACTACTATGTAGCAGACTACTGGTGTAGTGGATTATAGACATGCGGTTTTAATTTAAAGAACATTTGGTATAATCTTTAATGTAACTTCCTTTCCTCTTCAGGAAATATTTGCCTATTCTAAAGAAGTATCCACCAAAATACATCTATGAACCTTGGACTGCTCCTCTTAGTGTACAGAAAGCAGCTGGATGTATGATCGGTAGAGACTATCCTAAACCAATCGTGGATCATAAAGAGGCCATGAAAACCAACATTGAAAGGATGAAAAAGGCGAGAGCAAAACAGTATAGCGGCGCTGCAGACGATCAAGGTACAGTCAGTATTAGATAACATCAAATAATGGCTTGTTTATTTGTCATGTTGTGCTTGCTAACGTGGAGGGAAGAACGCGTCCGATGAGGAAATCTCTCGGCCGATTTTATAGTTACACGTTGTCCTGTTTTCGCAACATTATATTCGGTCTTCGGAATTATTCATATTTGACATCAAGAGGGAGGTGTGGTTCGAAAGAGATGAGGGTGAAGGAATTTGCTGTAGAAAATACACAGTGAGACCTCACTCCAAATTGCCTGGAACAACTGTTGCACGAAAATCAGTGCGTCCTTCCCAACACACCAGGAAAGCTGCATAAGAGTAGGAGGAGGGGGAAGGGGGTAGCCTGGAACAAGACAGATCCCAACGCCTCCTTCAATTCTCCAAGTTAGTATTGCCCATAATACACCTCCCCCCACTAATCTTGCGCAAGCATTGCTCTTATGAGAGCTTACGAATCGACGATTTTGCAAACACAAAAGGCAAACTGTTGTGGAGGAGGGGGAGAAAAGACGGTGTACTATGGGCAATGCGAAATAGACAGATATGTCAACGTTTTAATGAGAGCACCGCATTCCTTACCTCGTTGCGATGAATCTCGACAACAGCAAATTGACAGGTTTATTTAGGAAAGGACAAAAGGCCTGATTGTTCAATCCTTTTAAGGTTCTGATGAAGAAAGCCAAAGCAAACCTGTGAAAAGGAAGATCAGCAAGCAAGCCTCACCGAGCAAAAAGTCAAGGAAAATAACTGATTTCCTCAAGAAGTGATTTCATCATGATTCTAAAAGGTATCAAACATTTGATGAAAAGTCAGTCTCGTCGTCATCGTCACGAAGAATTGAAAAAGAGGTTATCAGTATCGACACCATTTTTTTTTTTATCGGTGCAAAACATGAACTTTATTTTTTTTTTTGGCTGCGTAAGTTAAATGGATTGTACTATGGATATCGATAGTGAAAGCTAGAAGTTGTCGAAATTTTGCGTTTTTATTGACAATCTTCCTCATAAATAAAGATTTTATGTTTCTGTCTATTCTGTCGGCTATTCAGATATTTTTGAGATATTTAGAAAAAAGTCGGGAATTTCCGCAAGCATATTTAGGCGATTTTACGTGATATTTGTAGGCCTATTTACGCCATGTTTATTTAACGGACCAGTTTATTTTTAGACACATTTTAGGGCACTTTTTCCTGTGAAAGTAGAATCTCCACCACGTCTATGAGCGCATTCGAAGTATAAGATATCAAAAAGAAAAACTAAACGTTATTAAAAGGCAAAAAATATCATTTTTAGGTCTGTAGGTTTTGCTGACTGGTTTTTGGTATCTAAAAGATATTCAAAATTCGCAGCAAAACCGCTCTAAAATTAAACTGGTCCGTAAAAAAGGCGGTAACAAGCGCATGGAAGTTGCTCGCTCCGGGTTATGGGCTCCCGCCAGACCACAAATCGAAGATTCTCGTAATGAGTTGTGACGTTACGTTAGTTTGGAGGATGAAAACAAGTGAAGACCGGAAACAGCAAGGGTATTTAGCCTTTAGCCAGATTCTGTCTCGTTAAATTCGTTTTTGGTTGCATTTAGAGTAAGTTTGTTTGCGTTTAACCAAGTATGCGCATGAAATAGGTCCTTCTTAAGACGTGATTCAACGCTGTCCTTTGCCCGTTCCGCTGGACAAGAGAGTACGAAGGCTCTGGGAAAGAGATTGCCCAAGTGCAGTTCACCATTTTCACATAGACCAAAATGCACCTTGTTTACCCCCCAAAATTTTGCATAAATATTGTCTTGGATTTCTCTTGGGACGACTGTAATACCAAAGAAAAATTGGAAACAATGGTTATGCAAACTTCTGGTGGGTAAACAAGATGCATTATGGTCTATGTGAAAATGGTGAGTGGGTGAGCGAGAAGGGCAACTTATGCAACTTTTTGCACAACATTATTGTTTTACGTGTTCAACTTGTTACGCAACAAACATTGCAACAAAGAAACAAAGAAATATTTTTGCGTGAAAACTTAGTTGTTGCTGATTACCAACAATGTTGCGGAAAAAGTTGCATGAATTTACTACCCATTTTATCACACCTTTATCGCCTGTGTTGTAGCTTGCAAAGTAAATCAACGCTTCTGATTGACCAGTTTCCCCGCGCTTTATTAAAAAAATGGAAATTTTTTGCGCCTGCGCAGGTTGTCGTCCGCTTTTGCTGTTTTTGGTCCATATGGACCAATGGATATTGTTCTTCCTGGACCTATTAAATTTCCATTTAAGCTTATCAATGATAATTTTCAAAATTTGCGGGGATAGAGCTCTCTCTTGGTATCTCATTTGGTAAATTCTGACCAATCCTGACAGTTAACAGACAAAAAAACAAGCAACATTTCTGGAAAAAAATCCACTACCAATTTTGCTATTTACCTACTACTTTTTGCATATTAAATTTCTTCCTTTTGTTATAAAGAAAGCCAGCCGGCCAAACTCCGCCAGTCATGCAAAAGAAAGAGGATAAAGTGGGCAACAAAACTACCTATCAAAAGAAAGGCAAAGGGAAAAAGAAGAGAGAGATAAAAATGGAATTAGATTCGCAAAAAAATGTCCAAATTTTGGCTTATGCGCATGCCCAAAAAGCAAAAAAGCTGCTAGATTACATCCAATCAACAGAAATTTAAGTCCTGATTGTCTGGAATCTCTTTTCTAGCTATTCCCATGCTAACTGGCCGAAAAACGGTTCGAAAAGATGGATTTGGTCCAAAATGCGGTTTTTCCCCTAAAAATTGGCTGACGGCAAAGGGTTACATTAACGGATTGTGCTGGCATAATTTTTTGGCATAATTCGTCACTACGAGCAAAATTTTAATTTATTTTTCCCAAAAAGCACTGCTAACAAAATAAGCACTTTTTGGCTAGTTTTGCAGCAGAAAGTTGTCATTTAGTGATCATGCAACAATTTTTTTTTTAGCCCGATTGGTGTTCTTAGCAAATTAAAGCATGGGCTTAAGTTGACCAAATCATTTTTTTGTCTGCTTGTTGCCTGGGTCCCACAGGTGACCTCTTTCCAGAGGACTCAACGCATGCGCATAACTAGCTCGGTTACTTACGTTGGCGTTCGGGTGTTTAGTTAGTTTTTATAGTCGTCAGACAATGAATTATGCACTCTTAAAGTTTCTAGATTTAAATAGGCTGATTACTTGTTCGTTGCATAGCAAGAGCTCTTATGCATAGTTGAGGTAACATATAAAATTTACAAGCAAAATTTCTGCATTTTTGCTAAAAAGAGAGGAAAACTAGCATAATTATAGGCATAATTTCAGAAATATACGAGCATTGCTAGTAGTATATTGTGCTACTTTTGCCTGCACAAGCTGTCAAAACCCATGTGCGGGCAAAAGTGTCCTTTGTTTGAGCAATACTGAAATTTGCCGGGATGCGCGATAAGTTGAAGTCAAGTGAAGTCCAGTCAATCTGGGCATTTTCGAGGCTCAACATCAAACTGATTGCAACAGAATTGTTTTCAACGCCATTTAAGTAAGGGTGGCCTTAGACCCCCCCCCCCCTCCCCCCCCCCAAATCAAGGATGGGAAAATGGCGCGTTTTTGCATGCCCTTCGCGCGCCTTCATCCTTGATTTGGGGGGGATGGAGGTTTGCTGTTCCATTTTATTTTGTCCAAGATTGTAGCAACATACTAAAAATCCGCCAAAATCCGTTTAGTGGAACACGTCAAAATTAAGCCTTAAACATTTTGAGCTTTTAACACAGGGCACCCACGTTATTTGAAATTGTACGTTCAAACAAAAATTGTTCAAAATGGGTTTGTCACTTTTATGGAAAAGTGAAAGAAGAAATAATAAGTGCTACCTAGTTTTCGGTGATAAAAACGAAGTGTTTCTTTTGTTCCAAAAAGGATGAATATTAAACAGGTTGGCTTTTGCACACGAAGCCCATGCTCCACTCAAGGAATCCCAAAATAACAGGAGACTTTCAGAGTAATAGAGTGAATTGTTGGCTGTAAAACTACGACAGTTTAAGTCGTAAGGTTTTAAATCTGAAAAATGAAAGTTGTTACTTAACTTTTAAAATATATCCTTTTTTCATTAGATTTCTGTTAGCCGCAAGGGTAAGAAAAATATATATCAGAGCTGGATTTTTGAATGACGTTACAGCCAAAATAGAGCTCTCCCCTCAAGTTTTTTTCTTTCAACACTATCTCCAAAGAAGTCAACACAAATAAAAAACTAAGAGTGCAGCCATTGCTTTTGTTTTCCTTCTCTTCTTTTCTTTCTCCTCTCTCTTTCTATTTTCCCTCAAAAATCGCCACACACCACCGGCGATATTTAACAATTATTCCTCGAGCCCGAATGGGCTCTGAGTCAATAGCCCATGAGGCCGGACAATACATATATCCATGACTTGTACCTTTCAGTGTGAGTATTGTCAATGTTTTACATTCAAAAGATGCGATAAATTAAAACTAAAATGTACTGCTCATGGAGGTATGTATAGTGCGCATTATTTTGGAAAGTTAGCATAACGTCAAAACAGTGAATGTTGTAACGCAGATTTTTGGCAGGTTCGTAGGCGGAGTGTCTTGAAATTTTAAGATGATGCAGTGAATCAATCTCAATGAAAGTTTCAGCCCTTAATATTATATAGATTATGAAGATTATGTGAAGAGCTTTTAAAAAAATTCGTTCGAGTGGTTTCAGAGATATACAAAAAAGCGCTCAAAGTCCAAATTTTTGAATGAAGTTCACTTATACAGGTGGTGAGAAAAAGGGTTAGTTTTTAAGATCGAAAGAAGGAAAATACACCAAAATTTCCTGGCATCAAAATATGGTATTAAGCAGCATTCTGACGCTACTTAAGAATAATTTGAGTCATTTATAACGTTTTTATTAAATAATCTATCACGGCTATTGAAAATTTAAGGTTTGAAATATTTTATCGTTCTAGTCGAATTCAAACACACAGTTACAGAGGTTATTTGCTAAACACCAAACTTTAAGTTCCTCGTGTTGGATTTTCAGTAGCTGGTTTGGATCGCGCAAAATTGGGCGTTTATCGATATCAAAGTTTTTTGTTTATTGTTGTCATCGTAATATCGATTTTACTAAAACCTACATTTTGACAAAATTTCAATCTATAGTCAATCATTGGTGAAAATTTCATCGCGATCAGACAAGGATAAAATCACTTTTAAAGTGATTGAAAAATATCGGTATGGCCTCTGAAAAACTATATCGAAACACCTTAAGAATTAATTTCCCGGAGAATTTGAATACATGAAACAAGTTAAGTGCATTGCAATCATGCCAATAAACGCGATAAAGTCTGAAAGACCACGAATTCGACGCTCTATTCGTTTTGCTTCACTGCGCCAGTCAGAAACCGTTAACTGAGTAATTTGTGGAATAAGTAACTAGGCAGACACACTTTCCATCAGCGTTACTTTTGTTTATTCCCGCTTTTAACCCAATTAACTTAGTTATATTCTGCCAATGAACATAGTGACATAAACTGAAGTACTGTTTGAAATATCAAAAATTTTAAACATTCAAGCCCATGAAGTAGACAAAGTTTAGAAACATTGTTCCTTCAGGACCCTCTACTTTTAAAAAGTAGCTTTTAGATCTCATGGCAGAAAAGTTTTGTTTTGATCAGTTCCCTTATGCGTTGCTTGTCTTGTTGCTTTGGCTAGACCCCCCAGTGTTAATAACCACGCACCAGATGCACCATTTGCAAGGACTGCGCTTTTGACGACGTCTAGTAGATGTTTTGGAGACATTGCATCCCTCTGCTTCCTTGAAGTGAACCTCCAGTCCTGCTTTACAGCGCTTCATCTTGGTCAGATTCTTAGTTTTTATCTCCTGGTTGATCTTCGTTACCATCTCCATCCCAAAGACACCTGAATCAGCAGGAGAGAACTAGAATTAATAAAATTCTGTTATGCAACAACTTTTTTTTTACTTTTCCTTTTTCATGAAGGGTGATAAGATACTCAAAGTTACCTGGTAACATGGTCTGTAACTCTTGCTCGATCTCCCGCAGCTTTGAGCAAGCAATTTCCTTGTAGTAGAGGTATGATTTCTCGTAGAGTGGTTTGACACTCCCTGACTCGCTCACTAGCTTAATAGTGACCTCCTTCTTGTAACCATGGCTCTCGAGGTCCACCTTCTTGAGAAGACCAAGCATCCGCTTATCCGACATTTGAAAGTCCGGATCAAAAATTTTCACTTCTATGGATTCTTTTACATTGGCATCTGTTAAAATTGCAAAAAAAGGCTATATTTCAGTAGCACTGTAACTGAAAAGTGTAACAGTATTAGCATTGATAACCCAACGTTTTACAATAATGATAAGGAAATCCATTGATTTCTGTCGAAAGAATAACATTAAAAAGAGAAACATATTTGGCAATATTTGAAAAAGAAAGAAAATCAGTAAGAAGGTCAGTATATACCGACAGCCGTAGCAAGGAAAAATGAAATCAGCAAGGTTGTAAACAAGGCTGGACGCAACGTCATCTTTAGGAAGTCAGTGCTGTGTTCAGCTTAGGAATCTCCAGAAAACTGTAATGATATCGCTTGCTTGGTAAACTGAAGTGTTTCCGTGAAACCAAAAAGGTTAATGGATTAATAAGCAGCTGCAATCACGGCAATTTATTGGCTAGAGGCGTCATTATTAAATTCCGTAGTAGACAATGATCGCAGAATTTTTTTTAGTATTGACACGAAAAAATCATGCAACTGACTAAGCGGGAAGCGTTCCTCTTCTGTCAAATGGTTGTTATAAGAACTTCCTTTTGAGACTAAAACACACCAAACAGAAATACCAGTAAAGATGAAGACGGGATTTAAAAAGCATTATACGCACAGAGGAATTAGGATAACTGGTAGATCGTCATAAAAATACATTATTATTGCCGGGTGATATTTTGTATATCGAAAAAATGGAAGGCAGTTTTTAAAATAACATTGAGGGTAACAGGGGCACCCAACGACTGTTTTCTGTAAAATATCTGTTCGGAGAAGTAGATATTGCTAGAATTTTCTATTTCTTGAGGACGGCTACAAATTTCTAGATGACCGTTCCATCCACGTTCAATTTTCGAGACTTATGTAATAAATTCCCTACGATTTTCTGAAGCTAATTTTTCCTAGTTTAGTCCCCAAGTACTGCTGTTTTCCGTAGAAAAAGGAAACCTAAATTTTTCGGATTCATAAATATGATTGAGAGAGGAATCAGAAAAATTCTCACTTTCGTAAAAGGAACTGTGAACTGCACTTGTCGGACGTCAAGTCAGAATGGCAGTGGAGCGATAGCCGAATAGGTCTTAAAAACGTAGCCCGCCCTAGTGGCCTGATTGGGCGTTGTCCAGATAAAACGTGAGATAAACTCTATATGGAATAATTATCGTTATCTGAGGTTATACTTATGGCAAGGTGACTTGAAGCTTATGATAGTACACGTGATGATCGGCATGAAACACAAAAATCTTATTTGGGGTGTCTAGAAAACACACAGCTCGAAAACACAGACCATAGACCACAAACCTAGAAAACGCAGACCTCGAAAACACAGACCTCGCAATTTAAAATGAGTCTTAAGATCTACATATTTGATGAAAACAGTTTACGCATGGCGCTTATTTTCCCTATAGTTTATGGCTACTGGCGTGCCGACTTTGCTTTTTTTTTGCCGTTTGACGTTTATCTATAGCTATTGCTGGACTGGCAACAAGAACAGGCAGCAGTCAAACGCAGGCTTCCTTTGTTGGTCTAGGATCTATGATTGCGTGATGGAATGCCTCAGTCTCTTGAAATTTTTATCTTTTCCCTTAAGTATTCTTTAAGTTGTTTTGGAATATAATTAAAAATGTAAATCGAAATAAAATATATGGACTGAGTAGTTTTAGTGGTGTGACGGAGATTGTTCGGAAGGCCCCGCAATTTTCTTGAAAAAATAAGAGAGAACAAAAGAAACAGAGAACATAGAGGGAGTGAGTACATCACACATCATCTTTATTAGCGACTAAACAGCTGGATAAAAATCACAATTACTAGGTACAACCGGAGCAGCAAATTGTAAAACACCAGTAAATGAACAGCAACAACAACAATGAAAACCACGAAATTACAGTCTGTCAGCACTTAAACGGCCGCTTTGCCCATTCTTCAGTCCTTTTTCGATTAACTTATTTGTTACTATTGCGTTACTACATTCAGTGGAAAAACCATGTTCATAGGAGTAAAGTTGTTGTTTTATTACGTTATAAACAGGAACTGGACTACATCGAAAACACTGCGGCACAATCCAATGTTAAATAACGATAGATCACAGGACATTTAAATACTTAGTAAGACAGCGGACGGCTGCATCGTCCAGAGAACTAGGCAGCATTAATTTGCTTCTACTTGAGGTCCTGAAAACTTTTTATTTAGAACTTTCTCATGCAGTCCTTGTAGAGATTGAAATTATACATAACAGATAACAAAACTATACAAAATACAGAAATATATAAAATATATCAAATATATAAAAGAAGGGCCCTATATAGTGTTCAGTAGTCCATGGAAAGAAAGTCGACTAAACGGCGTTTAAACCGGCCGTAAGACAATGAGTGGCTATGAATTAAAGGTAAGGGAGCTTTTTGAATCAATATTTCGCGTGATCATGATTTTTTTTTCTTGGCGTTGTAGATTCGAATACATATGATAACATTCGAATAATATTATGGCCCGAATCACATGTAATAATGCAAGAAATCTCGACCTTCGTTATCTTAAAGGCTACTAGTATAGAGAGAGAAAGTTCTTCTGAAGCATAGAAATTCTAAAAACGTAAATAAACCGTAGTCTATTATGTGATTATTAAGATCATATAAGGCTGGTTTACTGGAGACTTCGGGCTTGGGTTTGTATCACGCGAACCCGACGGACACGTTCAAGATCGAGATGGCGATACTGTGTTGAAATACCCGAAGTAATGTTTCTCAGTGATCTGATTAATTAAAGAAGTAAGATTTTTATTGTAGGTTCTATACTGAAGGACTCATAAGCCAAGAGTTTTGTACAGTGGAACCTCGATTTAACGAACCTCTATATAACGAAGTCCTTGGTCTAACGAACGATTTTCTTCAGTCCGCCAAAATTACAGTAAAATGTATGGAACAGGCCCTCGATTTAACCGGGGATTTAACGAACCTCGATTAAACGAAATCTTCGTTATAACGAACGCGATCCACAAGCGCAAACGTAAAATTTACCTCGATATAACGAATAAATGTCACCATGTAATAAAAGATGGATGCCAAGGATAAAATCTATGTGTACAGTAGTTTTAAGTATTGGTCCAAAGTAGCTGTCTTTGACAAGGTCGCCGATTGATGTATTCCTGTGCCATTTTCATGTAATTTTATATCAGTTTAACTTTGCTCGGGTTTGGTGCATAGAAATCCTCTAAATTTTAGATATGTTATGCTTTTCAACATATCAAAGCAGTAGACAAAATAAAAAGTTGTTTGAATGACTCTTTTGTTATCTTAATTCATTTCTAAAATTCAAATTTCGCGCTTTTCGCCCTATTGACCAATCAGAGCATTCGAATTTAATTTGATTAGAGAAATTAGCACCTGAAAAATAACTGCCGCTATTGCTCTGGCCTATTGTTCTTTTGCCTAGTTCTTACACTGACCATTACTTAAGCAATTTTGTCTGCCTGTTCTTAAGTTTCTGGTGCCGTAAGACTGTAATTTTGCAGATCGGGAAATGCCGGGTTTTGTAGATTAATTATTAACTATACCTCGATATAGGGAACATTTTGGTAGTTTTCCCAATAATTTGTTAAATAGAGGTGTTCGATATAACAAACCCTCCATTTAACGAACAAATTTTCCCAGTCCCTTGCGTGGCACTTCGTTAAATCGAGGTTCCATTGTACAATAAAAAAGTGCATAGGTTTATGACGTACGTTGTAGAATTATAAACCGCACCATTATAGTTCGACTGAGGATTTTTCTCATGGTATCAGCGCATTTCTAATATCTTCGCTTCTGCTCCTTTTTTATTAATTATGTCATCAAATAAATTACAGACATCACGGATAGTGGTTCGCGCCTGGCAGAGAACATAAGGCCGATACCATGATACCAGCTTTTTCCAATGCAATTAACCTATTCGCATCGTGCGTCTCTAGATGCACTCGATTAAGAGCTATGAAGTAATTAGTGGTAAAACAACTGACACGAGTATTCAAGAACTGATCTGGTAACACAACATTAAAATTACATTAGTAGAGCTAATTCAAGCCCTTTTTAGCTGCTAAAAGAGGAACAAGCTTTTGGCAGCCTTAGTGGTAATTATTTAGGTAATAGTTCCATTCAAAGTAGTTTCTTATCGTAACAACAAGAATTAAGCTGAGGAGACTTTTTCAAACTTCAAGCCGTCTGATTTCACCGGGAAATGTGGCGCTGGTGATCTCTTGAGGCTGGTCAGGATTTCTTAGTTATTCTTAGTTGGGCTGGCAAAATGACACCGACTCAGCCTTAAGTTAGAAAAGACTCTCCTTTGCAAATATTTCGATAAAATGAATAGGTTCGTTAGAGCTTTCCCTCTTTAATTCCTCTAACTTTTATTAATTCGGTACTGCTCAGAAACTTGTCATACATTACCCTTAAGTTTCAAAAATTTCAAAGTAAACTCGTCAGTCGAGCTTCCACCTCTTTCTCCTTTAGTCCACTCCTGTGGACTAAAGGAGAAAGTGGAACAGATTATATAAGTATTCGGAACAGATTATCATCTTAGTTCCAGGACGGATGAGTTAGAGGTTTGATTGACCAGTTTTGGTCACATGAAGAGATAACAGTTTGTCACAAGGCAAATTTCATTGAGGTTACTGGATACCCTCGTGGGAGGCTAACGTGAAAGTGGTGTGGCGCGTTGCGGTTAAATTGCAGATACCTAAACCCAACAGGGGTCTTTTTTGCATGAGCATGCGCGACCGCTGAACAAGCGATGTGCATGGAGGCTCACCACAGGGTTTGCCTTCATCAAAATGGCGCGTCTCAAAGCTATCATAGCGATTATTTTGCTCGTTGGTCTTGGCGAATGTGCTCGTGATTTAACAAAATGTGTAGTTTGCAAAAGCGAAGTAGACCGGCTTTAACATACCCGAGCTACTATCTAATTTCATCTCCCCACTTGACCTGGACAACAGTGCGCGTACATGTAGTGCCTGGAGGATTGCGTTGACCTCATCAA